GGTCAAAAAAATCCTGGGCTTCCTGTGCTAAATTTCATAACCTATTGGCGGAAATATTTAAAAATGGTGCCTAAGCCGGGGAGATATGCGGAAGTGTAGAATCAATACATGATCTGTCAGTTGGTGGATACTGAACATTTTTCTTAACTACACGTTGAACAACTTAGTTCGGCTTGATTGACCTCGCGCGCTTCCGGGCATTATATTTTGATATACCTAGGGGGTGAAATATATATTTTTGGCAGTGAATTTTTGGTCAAGTGACATTTGCGCCAAAATGATTGCAAGTGGGAGGTGTACTGATCTGACCGAAGTTCTTCGGGGCAGGATTGTTTAATAACAACTGAAATATTTGGAACTGAAGTTTGGAAGAAGAAACTAGGAAAACAAATGAACTTGGTGGATATTTTGGATTACATTTTGAAAAGAAGCATGCAAACATATCTGTTCCAAAACATTTTGTGCCTTGACCTCAAAAAAGGTACAGAGTGAAATTGCATGGCTATATATTTATACAAGTATCTTGTTCTCAGATATTGTTACATTTTTATACATTTTTTGCGACAAACATGAATTAAACACAGATGTTGTCTACTTCTCAAAGGTTTATTGCTGGTTCTTAGCTCCAAAAATTTTGCAAATGTTCCTTAGTTTTTTTTCTCTAAGGATTTTTTTGGGTTCAGCCTCGAGAAATTGTCCAAATTTTCCTTAGAGAAATATTTGTTTTATTTCTCTAAGGATTTGTTTGGGTTCGGCCTCGAGAAATTGTCCAAATTTTCCTTAGAGAAATATTTTTGTTTATTTCTCTAAGGATTTTTTTGGGTTCGGCCTCAAGAAATTGTCCAAATTTTCCTTAGAGAAATATTTTTGTTATTTCTCTAAGGATTTTTTTGGGTTCGGCCTCGAGAAATTGTCCAAATTTTCCTTAGAGAAATATTTTTTTTTATTTCTCTAAGGATTTTTTTGGGTTCGGCCTCGAGAAATTGTCCAAATTTTCCTTAGAGAAATATTTTTTTTTATTTCTCTCAGGATTTTTTTGGGTTCGGCCTCGAGAAATTGTCCAAATTTTCCTTAGAAATATTTTTTTTTTCTCTAAGGATTTTTTTGGGTTCGGCCTCGAGAAATTGTCCAAATTTTCCTTAGAAAAATATGTTTTTTATTTCTCTAAGTTTTTTTTGGGTTCGGCCTCGAGAAATTGTCCAAATTTTCCTTAGAAAAATATTTTTTTTATTTCTCTAAGGATTTTTTTGGGTTCGGCCTCGAGAAATTGTCCAAATTTTCCTTAGACAAATATTTTTTTCATTTCTCTAAGGATTTTTTTGGGTTCCGCCTTGAGAAATTGTCCAAATTTTCCTTAGAGAAATATTTTTCTTTATTTCTCTAAGGATTTTTTTGGGTTCGGCCTTGAGAAATTGTCCAAATTTTCCTTAGAGAAATATTTTTTTTATTTCTCTAAGGATTTTTTTGGGTTCGGCCTCGAGAAATTGTCCAATTTTTCCTTAGAGAAATATTTTTTTTATTTCTCTAAGGATTTTTTTGGGTTCGGCCTCGAGAAATTGTCCAAATTTTCCTTAGAGAAATATTTTTTTATTTCTCTAAGGATTTTTTTGGCTTCGGCCTCGAGAAATTGTCCAAATTTTCCTTAGAGAAATATTTTTTTTATTTCTCTAAGGATTTTTTTGGGTTCGGCCTCGAGAAATTGTCCAAATTTTCCTTAGAGAAATATTTTTTTTATTTCTCTAAGGTTTTTTTTGGGTTCAGCCTCGAGAAATTGTCCAAAATTTCCTTAGAGAAATATTTTTTTAATTTCTCTAAGGATTTTTTTGGGTTCGGCCTCGAGAAATTGTCCAAATTTTCCTTGGAAAAATATTTTTTTTTATTTCTCTAAGGATTTTTTTGGGTTCGGCCTCGAGAAATTGTCTAAATTTTCCTTAGAGAAATATTTTTTTTTATTTCTCTAAGGATTTTTTTGGGTTCGGCCTCGAGAAATTGTCCAAATTTTCCTTAGAAAAATATTTTTTTTTATTTCTCTCAGGATTTTTTTGGGTTCGGCCTCGAGAAATTGTCCAAATTTTCCTTAGAAATATATTGTTTTTTCTCTAAGGATTTTTTTGGGTTCGGCCTCGAGAAATTGTCCAAATTTTCCTTAGAAAAATATATTTTTTTTATTTTTCTAAGGTTTTTTTTGGGTTCGGCCTCGAGAAATTGTCCAAATTTTCCTTTGAGAAATATTCTTTTCTAAGGAACTGAGAGGATTTTTGTTGCGCTGCGTTTGGACAAATCGTCATCGCAGTTTTTTTTCTCGGAAATTTGTGGGCAGAGGCTTAAAGACCCAAAAAAACCTTAGAGAAATATGTTTTTTTATTTCTCTAAGGATGGGTCTAAAAATGCTCGATGCTGATTTTGATTTTCAGATCAAAAACTAGTATCGAGCATTTTTAGACCCATCCTTAGAGAAATAAAAAACATATTTCTCTAAGGATATTTTTGGTTTTTAAACCTTTGCAAAAATTGGGACATAAGACCTTTGTTTTTGTAATCACCTAATTTTTGCAAGTACCAATCAGTTGGTTCTCCCATCAAAGTTTCTCGAGTGGCAGCTCCAAAATTCCTTATGAATTGGAACATACTTTCTTTAAGCAAAATTTCTGGAGTCCCAGCCTATTTGTTGTAAAACACCCTTATATATATATTTCTCCAAGTAAAAACTCTCGCTCAAAATCCCTTTGGACCAACAAACAATATGATTCTCTTAAGGGTTGTCTTTTGAGTCCCAGCACTAGAGATTGATTGATTGCTTTATAGATACATGCTTCTTGAGCCCGTGTCCGACCCAGAATTGATTGAAAAAACAGAATAATCAATATTCTTCAACGAAGCCATTCAATCTTTTAAAGAAGGCATTCCGCGTATGCTTTTCTCAGCCCCATTTTAGAGAAAGAAACAAGTATGAAAGGATACTGGTGCTAAACACCAGTTAAACCACAATGTTTCTCAGGCAATGTTTCTCTGGAGACTTTGTTGACGTCCCTGCTGCCGAAACCTTCGGCTCTGGCACAAAATTAATGTCCAACTCATCTCCCCTCATGAAAGCATTCTGTTCACCTAATGCTCAAGTTTCTTGTGGAAATCTCGGAGAGCTAGAGGGTTGGGAATATGTATCCCTGATAATTACGCAGAATTAAGTATAAGTCATATACACACATACCTGGATCTTCCATATGGTGCTTATTTCTGCCGTTGCTCAAAAACAGTAGAATTGTCGCCGTTCTTGCGGAAAAACGCCGTTCCTGAAAATAAATGCCGTTGTGAGAAATTGTCAGCCCACGTGGTCGGGTATTTTCGCCGTTTGGTCGGTATTTTCGCCGTTTGGTCGGGCATTTTCGCCGCAGAAAAACGGGCTTGGCAGCAATATATCAGAAGAAACTCTGGTTTGCCCAAAAAGGTCGTTCTTGTGGAAAACCTATTTATTGGGCAAAAGGCAGAAATTAAGCCCACTTTGGAAGAGGCAGGTATTGTCATGTACATATGTACAAGAACTATACACAATATGTATGCCAGTATCTGCAAATATATATATACTTATATATACATATATATATATATACATGTTGTATCTTCGTATCTATACACGTACGTACATATATACATATATATATACATGTACATGTGTTATAAACTAGCTGTTATATTTGCATACTTATATATACAGATATTTGCATCTACAGTATACATACAGGTATGTCTATATATATATTTATATATATATGTGTACACATGCAAACTAAAAAAACATATAAGTGTGTATGTATGCTGAATACATCCAAACATGTACATATATATATATATATATGTATGCCTATGTAAATGTGTATGTACATGTGTGTGTACCTTATGGACCACTTCTAGTTATCTACTTATATCTAGTTAATCTACTTATAAACTTACTTATATCCTACTTATCTTTAAATTAAAAATCAATTTAAAAATTAAGTAACATAAGTAACTTTTAAGTAGGTAATAAGTAGGCTGTGAAGAAAATAAGTAGAAATAAGTAGAAATAAGTAGAACCATTGCGAAAACATTGTTTTTTCAAAATTTCATTGTTGCAAAGAAAAAGTTTGTTTTTCCAGGTGTAGCATATTTCCCAACATCAAGTAAAAAATGGAAAATGTAGCAGCAGACACGCTTTGCCACGATATTTGTTGTTGTTTTTCCACGTTTTGAAACATGTGTTTGAATCAGCCAAACCATTGAAAACAAGAAGATACCAGCAACACACAGATATTTGGAATCCTGCCACTTCGCTTGACATTTTGTCACTTTGCTTTGATATGTATTTCGTAACAGACCCGTTGCTCGCGGATAGGATTTGCATGTGTTTCACCGGGGTATATATCATACCTGTCAACGAAGACGATGGAGGTTCATTTTGCATGAGCAATTTGATAGGGAGCCATTGGAACACCCCTGGTTATATATATATAGCTTGAAATAAGCACCTAAAAGTGTATCAAGCCATGAACAAAAAATGTCGCACACTTGAAAGACCAAATGAAACTGTCGTATATATGCATCAAGGCGGTCACACCGCTGTAGAGCTCAAAATATATCGATTAAAGCGGTCACACTGCTGCACATACCTAAGTATATATGCAAAGCGGTCACACCGCTGCAAGTAGCAAAGACAAAATTGCAAAGCGGTAAGCGGGCACACCGCTACATATGCGTGAAAGCGTGCAAACCGATGTAAGGGTTTCATCCTTTTCAATATGTATCTTGAAAACTACAAGTGTATCTTCTCCAAATATTTTTATATACTCATATGACTCATATGCAGGTAGATATGTGCATGTACAGGTGTAGTTAATCAGGATTCAGGGTCACAAGCCACCAGCAGCCACACAATTCAAGAACTGGTCCCGAATTTGATTTTAAAAACGGTTTCTGGCAACGGCATGCGTAGCCTTTTTTTTCAGTTCGACTTATAGCCTTCTTGTCTAGTTCAAGCAAATCACCCGTTGCTTGTCTTCCGTGTAGCGGTACCACGTTGGAATCGTTGGGACAGCAGTTGTGGAAAGGTGCCAGCAGACAATCTCTTGCGTCACCATCCACAAGGTTCCCCAAAGCTTCTCTTCTACCTGAGCAGGCATGGAGAGATAAATAGCTATATGGAAAGGATGGATGGATAGATCCAAAGATAAAAGAAAGGTAAAATGAATAGGTAAATGCACAGATGAATGATGGATGGATGATGGATGGATGTGGATGGATGTAAGGAAACGGGCTCGATATAGATAAAACTTTGGATGATATAGATTTCCTGGATAACCGCGATAGATGGATGGATAGATGGACAGATGCATGGATTGAAGAATACGTGGTCGCGTATACCTACCTATAGGTAGGCCGGAAGGGGTGGAACGACATGTGGCCATATAGTCGTCCGTTATTAAAAACTACACACACATATATATATGCACTTAAAAAAGAGCATTGACATGAGTCAATATGTGAACACTCTTCCTGTCGCACAACATTGTTTAAAAAAAAACTCTCGTTGGGCGATCATCGCTTGACATTGCTTTTTCATTTGCAAAATACCACTGCGCCGGAATACGAAGTCCAGCTTCTGACAGCGAACGTAAAGACCTTGATGGGGACAAGAAAACCAGTCGCAGATGATACCACCGTGGAACTGCTGCAAGATGATGTCGCCCTCTTTCAAGGGACAGGCAACCAAGTAGCAACCTGAATGTGATGAGATGAAAATGAGAGCATGGAACACAATGGAACACAGGGCCCAACTTGAAACATTAAGCGGCCACACCGCTGACAAAACCGTTTTCCAAAACTATGCATCCTAGACTTGATTGATGTCCAAGTTACTTTTGCTCGTCTTGAGCCCCATCGATGTGAGACCAATCTTGTCATCCATGTCCGCATCTTTGATCGGCGGCAGAAGTTCCCAGAAATGCAAGCCATTGTTTTGTAGTTGGCAACATGTTCTCTGCAAGAGACGTGCCAACACAGCTGCACTGAAGCGAGACGGGTTCGAACCTGCCAGGCTTCTTTGGTGATCTCCTATGCTGCTCTTGTAGATGGCATGTTTGGACTCCAAGCCTTCGCAAGAAAGGGCCACCCCTGTTTTTTTCCATTGTTCACTGAGATGGAAGCGGTGATGATGCTTTGGCCGGTACTGGTCAGGATAGCACTGGCCGAACAGCTCGTGATGCCGCTCTTGTAGCAGGGGGAGGTGAGCCGCTGCCCTTTCATCCACCTCACAAAGTCCGTGCTGAATCTCTCGCACAAATTTGGTGATATTGCTCAAAGTTCGAAAGGATTTCACATAGCTGTCTGGCAGAGAAATCAAAAAGAGAGTTTCAAGGTAGTACCTGATCAGAGGCACAAGTGCTGCCGTCTGGTGCACTTGGCCTTTGTAGCAGCCTTCTCCAAACATGCGTTCGTGGAACAAATTCTTGACATATGTGGGTGACTTTCCACTTGCTTTGAAGCTTGTCCAATTGCTTGCCACCACTGCCTCTTGCAGAAGCTTCAAGGTGACGCCGCTTCTTGTGTAGACCTCCTCCAAGAGCAACGTCAGTTCCCAGGAAGCGATCCCGTTGCAGAGGTATGTGTGCCTGTAGTCATAGAGGATACGGGAAGGGGCCATTTTTTCCCGTTCTGATGGCCAAAGCAAACTCCCGGGGGTGTAGGATAGCCCCGCACATTTTTCTTGCAACTCAAGGCTCTTTTTCGTGCAAGGGAGAAGCATCTTGTCGCAGAGGGCAAAAATTTCTTGGTCCGAAATGGTGACAAATCCAGTCCCTGCCGAGATTTCTTTGAACCATCCATCATACGACACCACATCCGATCCCATCTTAACAATATTTTGGCAAAAGACGCAGGGTCGAATGCCAGCACTTCCTTTGAGAGAATAGATGGCCCTCACCGCCTCATGGTCTCCAAGGAAGTAGGCTTTCTTGAGTTGTCGGAAGGTCAATCCGTTTCCCAAAGGAAAACCTTCTGCGTTTTGATCTGTCAGAAGCAGCTGCAGGATGGACACCATCAGGGCACTAGCGCCACCGACAAGATTCTGCAAAGCATGTGATTGGACAGCTGCCACGGGAAGCCAAACCTGACTGCTTTTCAAGTAGTGCCACATTTCCAGCCACGAAAGGTAGTACAAGTTGCACTTTCGATTCTTCGTCACCGACAAGACATTGCCAGCTGTTGCCTCATCACAATAGAGCACCGGCGTGAGCTTCCCGCCCTGCTGCAAAGCCTTTGAGAAGGCATGGTGATAGGAATCAGCTTCAGCACACATCTGAGGCAAACACTTGTCCAACCGAAGGATTGGCAACGACATTGTGGAGCCATCAACGCATTGGAACTCCATGTTCTCAAAAGCATCTTTCCACGTCGAAAGTTCAACCTCCACAGCACGTTCGAAGGAACCCCTTGAAACCTGCTTGCCCTCATCATCATCATGGCACATATTCCAGATCTGGTGCACAGCTCTTTCGGATGCCCCCCGTACCCTCATTGCTCTGTGCAATTTGTTGGTATCTTCATCGGATAGTTTGCGCTTTCGGCATTGCGATTGCCGCATGGCAGTATGCAAAAGCATGGTGATGTGCCCCAAATCCACTTGACATGAAAAAACACAGTTGTCAGTGTTCCCCAACCATGCGTCTTGGCATCTATGTCCAACACATTTGCGTCCGTTTTACCTGAGAAGACAACGCAGCGATAGGCAACACATGATGAAATATGGCCACATTAATGTCTAACACCGGTATATTTATATCTTAACAAAAACGGTCATGCCAATGATTGCTCATGTAGACATTTTCACATGAGCGGCCACACCGCTATAGCACGAAGACCAAAGCGGCCAAACCGCTGGCACAAACCACAAAGAAAGAACGCACTGCATCAAACTAGACATGAGTGGCCACACCGCTATAGCAAGAAGACCCAAGCGGCCAAACCGCTGGCACAAACCACAAAGAAAGAAAGCACTGCATCAAACTAGACATGAGCGGCCACACCGCTATAGCAAGAAGACCAAAGCGGCCAAACCGCTGGCACAAACAACAAACCAAGAGGCCACAGCATCAAACTCCAAGCGCAATTTTTCCGATGCTTCGCCTTTGATGTTTCCGTGTCGACAACACAGAAAACCCCAAGTTCCATAGGAACCATCATCAAAATCAAAAAGCCACCAGATTGTCAGTTGCAGCTGCAACTATCTCCCATCAACGATGACACACTAGGCGTCCGCCTGCTTGCCATTGGCACGCCTCTTTGCCCCCGCTTTGGCCTTTGGCTCAGCAGCTGCCTTGGCAGCAGCTGTCTTGATAGTCTTGGCAGCTTTGTCCCGCTGGCTCTTCTCGGCAAAGACTACACGGATGTCCTTCAAAACATCCTGAGCCGCCTTCACGGCCTGCAAAGCATTGCCATCGGCCTGCAGGGTGATGGATTGGTGACCTCCTGGTAAAAAAATACGACCAAAACACCCCGCCCAAAGAGAAAACCCACATATAATTCATATCGAGCCACGTCTTCGAAGAGAACTGGCTTCTTGTTTGCCTTGTCCCCCTCGGTGGCGCTCAACAAGTCTGCAGCGCCTGAGTCGAATGGCTGAAAAGTGAAAGCGTCCATATTATTTGCAAAAAAACACGATTGTAACTGTAAATGCTTGCAAGTTTGTAATGACGGATCAATACAAATATATTCCCAGATATATGAGTAGTCTTGCACAGAAGGAAAGACGACACATATACAAATACATATATATTTATATATAATATATATATATATATATATACATACACGCATCTACATTATTATAATCCCATGAAAAAATATATATAATATGCACATTCGCATCCGGCAGCGGTCGCACCGCTCAATGATCAATTTGTGTGCTCTTAGTTACGTGGAACCCACCCTAAGCAACTAATTGTTTGCTTCTATAGGGTGACCACTGGGCGACACAAGGAAATACAAGTTTTGTTGCCCAGGGACGCTGTCTGAACTTGGTGCACTTGTCACGGGCACTCTCCAGAGACCTCAACTGGTCCTCCGAAAGAATGTCCTGGTTCTTCTCGCACTTGATCATGGTGCCGTTCAACGACTGGCACACGCTGTTCAAGCCGGCCATGTTCTTTGCGGCCTTGGCCACCTCCTTCCTCCAAGAGCTTGCCAACTCACGCGCCTCGCGCAAGGCGTTGCGCGCTGCGGTTGCGGCATCTTTGTCAGTGTCTTTCTTGCTGGCCTTGGCAGGCTTGTCGCCCTTCTGCCCTTCGTCTTCACTTGGCACAGACCAAACGTCATCATCGACATGAATCGTGGCCTCCTCATTGCTCCGAGCACTAGGCGCAGATGCAGAAGCTTTGGCTTTGGCAACTGTTTTTTTTGTTTCAGCTGGTACTCCTTGTCCGCGATCTCCTTCTCCATGGATCCACGGATATTTTCGTCGTCAATGGTGAGCAAAGGAGCTGTGAAGACCTCACCGAAGACCTGCCAGCCATCAAAGCAAAAAGCACTAACATATATATACATATAGTGTATATATACAATATTATATATATATATTATATTTATTATATATTATATATTATATATTTATTATTATATATTATATATTATATTTTATATATTATATATTATATATTATATATACTATATATTAAATATATATTATGTAATATATATATATAATTACGTATATATAGCGGCCATACCGCTGAGATGACATCCCATGACGACAAGATGCGAAAAGAAAACAACAATTCAATGTCCAGGACAAAACAAAATCTTCCGTCACGTGTCAGTTTCAAAACACATGAATTCAATCCAAATTTGGCGCAGCCTCGTGGTCCATCCTGGTACCCTTCTCCTGGATCTTCTTGGTATCGAACCCTCTCTGCTCCCAAACTGACAGTGGCAAAAATTCCCGGCTCACCCGATGGATCGTTTGCTCCTTCTGGTACCGAACCATTTCGCTCAGTAGAGCTGAGCGAACCATGGACCACCTGGCATTTTTCGAGACCGCTTGCAACAAGTCGGTTTGAGCACGTTTGAAAAACGAGGCCTGGTCCTGTGCACTCATCGCCTGCAGAGTAGGCGGCATTCCACCTAAGTGGCGATAGAGCATCTGATACACATTGGCGCAGACCCGGCAGTACAGGCCATTGGGTTTCTGCACTGCTCCTTGGGCCAAAGTCGTTGTAGCCTCACACTTGAGGCACTTGTGCTCAACGTCCCACGACTCAGTGAGCTGAGTATCTTGGATTTGCTCCTCGGCCATGTTGCACCCTTTCACTCACAGTGGTTTTCAGTGGGTTTGAGCTAGGCCAGAGTCTGCGATCCACCACAAGGAAGATTGTATACGGTAGTCGTCTAAAATATGAAAATGTAAGAAAAAGGCAGCAAAATCAAGCAGATAGCCAATAGATAACCAATAGATAGCCGATAGATAGCCGATAGATAGCCGATAGATAGCCAACAGATAGCCATAGATAGCCATAGATAGCCATAGATAGCCATAGATAGCCGCATATCAAAAAACCATCGTTGGGTGATAGATAGCCATAGATAGCCATAGATAGCCATAGATAGCCAGAGATAGTCAGAGATAGCCAGAGATAGCCGATAGATAGCTGATAGATAGCCGATAGATAGCCAGCAAATAGCCAGAGATAACCGGAGAGAGCCGCACCAGAAGCATTTGTGTAACATGTCACAGCGGTCACACCGCTGAGCGTGCACAACGCTGCGCGGTCACACCGCGTCATCACAACAATTGCTTTGTATCAATGCGATTTTCCCATATATATTGAAACCCTGAACCGTGGCCCTCAGATTTTTTAACCACTGGCAGGAGGTCTCGTCAGGTTCACTTGCTTCTGGCGGCAGGTTTCTTCATGGCCTTGGTTGCTGGCTTCTTGACGACTCTGGCTCCTTGTTTTTTCTTCGGCAAGTCATGTGGCACACTCCTGGGAAGAAAGCCTTCCTTGCGCAAACCTAAGATGTCAATATCTCAAGATGCAGAAAAAACATTTGATTTTTTTGGTTTGAAATTAAAAGCCGCCAGTTGGCACTCTTATATATTGTGACTAAAAAATTGCCCAGGAACGTACGTGCCAGTTCCTCGTCGTTTAAATTCTTGTTCTTCCTCGGCTCGTTGCACACTTGGGGACTTCTCAAAAATCTCTTCCAAGGTCAACCGTTTCATGAATGGCCCCAGTTTTCTTCCAGCAGCCAGCACTGCAATCTGGCACGAGCCCAAAATCATCATCTCACGTCCAGTTGTTGCATCACAAAGTGCCACGAAAGAATCCAAAACCTTCAGGGTTCCAAAAAATGCACCGACGCTTTTTGTTTGTTTTCAGCTGGCACACCACCAAAAATTGGATTTTTTTCAGCGGGCCTCACAAAAAAATTGGTTTTCAGCGGGCACGCCGCTCAAAAAAAAAGGTTTTCAGCTGGCACACCGCTCAAAAATAAATTTGTTTTCAGCGGGCACACCGCTCAAAAATAAATTTGTTTTCAGCGGGCACACCGCTCAAAAATTAAATTTGTTTCTAGTGGACAAAATGCTCAACCAATAGTTGTTTCTAATGGACAAACTGCTCAACCAATAGATTTGTTTCTAGCGGACAAACAGTTGAAGAATAGGTTGGTTTCTGGCGGACAAACTGCTAAAACCGAAAAACCATATTTGTTCTTTTCCCACCCCCCTTGCCTTGTTGAACGGCGCGCGTGGGCCCCATCTTCCAGGCACTTTGCTCACCAACTCTCCTGAAGCAGGAGCCACCACTGTCATGGAGAGCTTGGGGCGATCCCATTCGAAAGAGAAGAGTTTGGTTCCCTGTGGGTTTCCAATCGGCCGCACACATATGCAGACGCCACTAGCCAAGTGCATGTACCTGCTCAAGCAGAGGAATGCCCGCATGGGTGAATGCATGCAGATATGCCTATGTAATCGTTTGATTCCTTCACAATACGTACACACGCATAAATATACATATTTAAAAATAAATGAATGAAATAAAATAAATATATGATAAATGAGTTATATATATATATATATATATTTATACGCCCGTACACATGCATCCATACATACAAGTATATACATGCATGTATACAAATTTATACCTACATAAACCTCTCAGCATCTAGGTTCGCTTTCAGCGGGCACACCGCTCATGATAGGTGCGGGCGCACCACTCAAAAAGATGTTGGTTGTCAGCGGCCTCGCCGCTCAAAATCATTGAAATTCTTCAAAGCACCCGGTACCAACTTAGAATTATAACTTTCAGAAGGAAACCATGGTTGACATACCTGAAAAGTGATTTGACAAAGACACATCATATTCTCTCCAAGCCACAGGCGCCAAGCCGGTTTGAGCTCCATGTTGGCGTGCTTCACCATTTGGTATTTGTGGGCTGAATACTCCCCCAGGTACAAGACCTCGTCATCGCATCTGTGTCGCATGTCTTGGTGCGGTGGCAACCACTCCCAATACTTGAAGTCGGCCCATCGGTTCCACTGTTCCTCTGTCGTGATGCCCTCCATCGTTGACCACGCCAACGAGGCATATTCAAAGCGAGCCGCCATCTCTTTCCTTTACAAACCTGAGCAGGTTGTTTCAGTGGAGCTATACTCCGTCTCCAAGCCAAAATTGCAAAGCCAACGTTCCAAGCACTTGAGACAGCGGCCAAACCGCTAAGCAACTACTGCAATTACAGATTGATAACGAGATGCAGCTATTGATGATAAGCGCTCCCAAGAAACAGCGGACACACCGCTTCATCCACACCGCTAGGAGGCAACAGTTTGACCAACAAACTGAAACATTTCTTTTGCTCCCCGATCTCAAAGCGCCAGCTGCACAAATCAGCTGCTAGCAGTTCATAATATGCCATCCCTACTGGACAAAACTACGTGCTGCCTTTCGAAAATTTATGCACAGCAAGCTGCCCTGCAGCTCGAGCTTTCTTCGTGACTTGCTCCTCGCTCAAGCCCTTGACCTTCGAGAACTTGCCTTGCACTGGCTTTGGACTTGATAAATTTAGTTCATCCACAGTTTGATGGCCAACCACTTGATTTTGATAATGGAGAGAAAAAGGGGAAAATGTGAACACAATAAATTGTTTATCCAAGGTACTCTGAGCTGCATGGTAAGCCCTTGAGTACACACACTGTACCGTCATCTTCAGCTCGCGACCCTTTTTCACAGGTTTGTCATGGGATTTCGGCTTCGGTTTGCCACAGAGTTTTTTGGCGCTTGCCTTCTTCGCACTTGGTCTCTTCAACACCTTCGCCTGCACCTTTGCCTTCGGCTTTGGCTTTGGCGTCGCCCCACGTTTCTCTGCAGAGTTCTTGCCATTGTCCCTCTTCATCAAAGCATCCTGCAATCTCTGTGTTGCGTCTAGCACTGGCCCGGGAATTTCTGCTTCTAGTTCTTGGGCTTCCGTGCCCAAATCCACATCGCCATTCCTCTCATCGGCAGGGCTTGCCTCCATGTCGCCCGTATGGTCGTGGTCAGTTGGCTCCCCGGGCGTCTCCACCATCACTGCAGCCCTTTGCTCATCATCCTGCCGCAAGAAATTTATGACGTTCAGAAGCCATGCGAAAAGAAACGCATGCAACTCCCATGCCAGCGGGCACACCGCTAGTGTGTATACATACATTACATTACATTACATTACATTGCATTGCATTTAATTTCATTTCATTTCATTTCATACATACATTACATACATACATACATACATACATAGATACATAGATACATACATACATACATAGATACATAGATACATAGATACATAGATACATCATGTCTTGCGATCGCATCCTTCTTGTCTTCAAGCGCCAGCAAGGGCACCCTCGGCTGCATGGGCTGCGATGATGACTGTGACGAAGCCGTGCACGAAGACTGACCCATTCTGAAAGCAAATTCCATCAGCCTCATCTGCGACTGCTCCGCCTCATTGTTGGCAGAGGTTGGCACCTTTCCGCGCCAACGGAGACGGGTTGACCCAACTGCCAACAGCAAATCGTCTGAGGGCAGTCCTCACATGATGAGCCATCTGCTGTGAAAATGAAACAGTATAAATTATAAACAATCCACAGCAAACTATTTTTTTCAGCAGGAGAACAACAAAATGTTCCAAAGACATGCGGTGGGCTGGATGGAACTGGGACGTCATGGCTGAAACATGCAGCCCAGTATTCTGGCTCCAGGTCGCGGGGATCAACTGGCAGCTGCTCCAAGTAAATGGTATATTCGGCGCCCTTCATTGCAGCCTTCAACTTTTTCCAGTCCTTCTTGAGGGACCCCAAGCGCTCATAGCGTTCGAAAGAGGTCTGCGACCGTGTTCCTGGCACATCCCGAACCAGCTCCAAAAAGTTCTGGATAACACCAAAGGTACACTCACTTGGGCACCTCATCCCCAACTGCCACGCATGGTTCAGGAGAACCCCCGTCGACTTTTCGCGAGAAGAACTTTCGAAGATGCCCCACTGCGAGTCAGTGAAGTAAGAAGGGAGCGCCTTGTAGTTCTGTTGTTTCCGGCGGTCCACCATGCCTGCTATATTGATGATCAGGCGGCAAGGTTCTAAGCAAGACAGCTCGCAGCGCATTGAAATCCAAAGTCTCCTTGAAGAGACTTTAGCGGCCACACCGCTGTAAACATGTCCACGACAACTGAAGAAGATAAGCGGTCACACCGCTGTTTTTTCCAAACTTAAATTCAAGAAAAACATGATTCAACCAAGCGGCCACACCGCTGCAAGCAAACGCGGAACAACACTAGATGCATTCACGCACCTGCGCGCCGACGACCCCCTGTGCATATTTTGACGTCAATCATCGTCGATGCCATTCATGCTTCCTTGAGCCGCCTCGGGCACGCCACACTCCAAATAGTCGCCATTGTCGCTGTCGACCACTTTCACCAGGTAGGAACGAGTAGGATCCAGTTGCTGGATCCGAGCCTCGGATGGCCAAAAAAACTATATCAAAACATGCCCAACATTAACCAATTATGTCTTCATCAAACTAAAATCTAATTTTGGAAAACTTCAAACCAGATTGATCCAGCAAGAAACTGTGAACTGGAGGTGTTGCTTCTGGTGGAGCTGCCTTCACTCTCGCGCCTCTAGTTGTTGCCATTGCTGGTAAAGCCGAGGCGGCACTTGTCCCTGAGCTTGCAAACTGTGTAGGCACAGTTCCTTCATGGGTCCCAGGTCTTGCCTTCGGTGGAGGCGCTAATGGTGCCGTAGGTGTCACAGCAGCATGGGTCACTGGCCTAGCTTTGGCTGGCAACGGCGGCCCAGCTTTGGGTGGCAATAGCGCAGCCTCCCCTCTGAGCACTGACTCGGGTACAGGGACACTCACATAAGGGTTCACGGTCACCAAGTGGTCATACAAAATCCCCGAAGGCAGTGCTGACACAGCTTTACTCAAAGTGGTAGGTGGAGAGGAGGAAGAGCTCGAAGCTCCTATTGAGCAAGTTGCGGTTTCTAGAATATATAAATATGAGGAAACAAAAACAAGCCACAGTAGACACACCGCCTGTGAAACATGAATGAAACCATTACCAAATCAGAATTGTAATCCTGTGCGTTATGAAGCGGCCACACCGCTCAATTACCAGTTTTAGCAAATTTCTGTTTGACATTCAAGATTAATGCAACAAAATTGTCATAACTTTACAAGAAACTCCAGCACGATCCCCTAAACTAGCAGAGCGGTCACACCGCTGAACAAAATGGGCCATGCTCCTAAATTTTAGCTTTACAACTTCCCCCCCAAAAACAGATCCAATCATCGTTCTACGTCCTTCAGCTGAAGCAGCAACCTCACGAGACGCTCCAATGGGAACCGTGGCTGAAGACGCCGATGAAGACGCTAGACTTTCGAGATTCAGCCTCCACGGCGATTCTCCTGATCAATGAACAATTGCGGAGATGACAACTATATCCTAAACAAATATAGCGGTCACACCGCTGGAAGAAAAAGGCGACACTGGTAAACTCTTGTATCACAACCACTGCTTGCCCCCCACTTAATAACAGATCCAATAATCTTTCTATACGTCCTGCAACCTTGGCAGAGGCGAGCGCAGGTGCATACTTAGGCGTTGCTTTCATCAGAGGTGGTGGCAAACGCGCTTTCTTCTTGGCCTTTGGCATCACTGCTGGCCGCTCCAGTGGCGGTGGCAAACGCCTTTTAGGACGAAAATGTTCCAACGTGGCAGGTGCTTCCGGCATTGCAGGATTCGGAGGCACATCATTGCCGGGCCGCGCTGGTGGCAGCAAAAACTCATCCATGTTCTGCCCGAAAAAGAAAGACATGTTCTTCTCCATCTAAAATATTCTATTATTTCTTCTGTCATTGCTATGCGTAGTTTCACTGCATTGTTTTGAAATCATTGTTCCTATTGTTGTTTGCTATACATGTTCTGAAATCATTGTTCCTATTGTTTTTTACTATACATGTTCTCTCAGAAACGGCCACAACACTTTGACATCATAAAGTTTTTGAACAAAAGCGCTCGATCAAATAAGCGGACACACCGCTGCAAATCTAACATGCAAACAGTTTCAACTCGACTGCCGCGGCAACACCGCTTTGATATTGCACAGTTTCAGACAGAACGAAAACGCAAAAAACAGTACAAAACCTGCTTTCACACAGAAAATTCCAAAAAATCAAATTCCCAACCTTTCACAACGCATGCTGCTGTTCCAAAACATCTCAAAACAAAACATAAAAAGCAATTAACATCTACAAAACTTAAAAAACAAAGTTTTTAGATAAGTAGGTTAACTAGAAAATAAGTAGACACAAGTGGAGATAAGTAAAACTAAGTTACTTAACGTACTTAGGCACATACACCATGAAAATGCTAAATTCTACTTATTCAAAGTTATTTCTATTTATTAAATAGGACAACTAAGTTATAAGTAAGCTAAGTTGAAATTTCAAATTAACCTACTTAAAATCTATTTAAATTTTATTTAACCATGTTAAACCCATGTTAAAGACATGTTATAAGTAGATAACTAGAAGCGGTCCATAAGGTATGTATATATACGTATATATATATATATATTCATATTCGTGTGTATATGTATATGTATATATGTATATATATACACAGGTATATATATATATACACAGGTCTTTACTTTTTTTAGTGCTCTGACCCCAAAGTTCATTTGAAAAATTGATTTGCGGCAAACATTGAAGAACGTTGAGACCTTGTATCAAAGTATTTTCACGGCTACGCGGTCAGTAAGTGTTCTTCTTCAAAATGCTAAGCAAGTCTTCGAATTTGCGTTGCGGTTCAACTGATTTTTTGTTATGGACAAGCGCTATAGCTCGTTCACAATATTCTTGAATTAAGATATTTCCAAAGGTTTCAGCATATGTTATAGCCTTTGGGTAAACATATCGTTGTTCAAGTTGTGGCAAGAGTTTGGCAGTTTGGATAAGCAAACGGATGTGTGTTTTTCAGAGGACAGTTTTTCTAACATCGACACAGAAGATAACTTTCGACAGAAGGTAACTATCGACAAAGATCATCTGTTTGTTCAACCGGGACAATGACCCGTTTCTTTGTTGGAATTCTGCAGCATTGTCTTTGGGATGCCCTGAGCCACTCTTCCCAACCAGGTCCAGGAAGTTGCTGAAATAACCTTACAGATTGAATGCATCACCATATTTTACTGAATTGTTTAGCACAGTACTGTAGCAATTCAGAACCCATGCTTGATCTGTACAAAGCACTCTGTTTTCACAAAATAGTTTTGACGAATCCTAGTCGCCAGAGCAATCCTACTCCTGAAGGTACCCCGTGCCTCATTTGGATTGCATCCTGGGGCTTGTCTCAGCTTTAGTGCATACTTCGACTAGTTTCCATACATTCAGGTGTATTACTCACTGTTGGGCCACAGCCACCCCTTATCCACCAAAAATAAATATTTATTTCCCTCAGAAACCCTGGGTTATGCAATTTAGCAGCTTCCTGCACTGTTAAAATGTGCTGGCCCTCTGACATCACTCTGAGCATTTCAGAGTATGAAGACATGCAAGCAGCAACTGCCCGGTCAGCTTCTGTGGCTCCTTCTCGCTTGGCAAACACAATGGCCCTGGCACATAGCCACCGAGTCAGCACCTTCGACGGAGCAGCTTTGCTTTGCAAGCACGGAAAGCCTCACAATCTGCTACTTGAGGCCAAAAAAATCTCCAAATCTGACATATTTCCACATACCTTAACACTGCTTGACCAAAAGAACACTTGTGATACCTTAACACTGCTTGACCAAAAGAACACGTGGGAACATGTTATATTTATGCCAAAAAGCTTGTTTGAACAGTTCGGTTAAGCCGAGCAGGTGTGAGCACTGAAGTTTCTGTTGCTTTTTCCACATCAGAAAGTCACGATGCGCACTTCTCAAAACCGGTGCCAACCGGTCTTTGTATTGACCACGACCAAACATACTGCCGAACATACCACCTTCACAGAGATGGATGAGAGCCGCACCTGCATCCACAAATTGTTTCGAATCACAGAAAATTAAAATTTGTTTGGCCCCGCATACACCAAAAGGTGACAAAATGTACAAAGGACTGGAAAAAACAAAGATTTCTTGCTACACAGGCACCATTGGCGGTTTTCCCAGTTCCAAGCAGTTGACTATGGCACGTGTCGTGCATAACACGCTCTATGGCCAACGGGAGCCGGAACATCACAGAGTGGTCTCGTACCATGTCTACACCCGAAAAATCACAAGGAGGAAACTGGTCGGCGTCAGTGCTGAAATTTGTCAGTGTGGCAGATACGTCTGGGCCAGTCTTGACGCAGTCACAACGCGAGCAAAAGTTGTTTTTGCCATAGTTGTGTAAATTCACAAATCCGTTTGAGATCGCCTTGAACAAAGGTGAATGAAAGCAAATAGCTAGCGTCACTCCACGGCCACCTCCTTTTTGGACCTGCGAGCATTTCAAAGCTGTTGACGACATGTTCCATGCAGTCGCTGTAAGTGTGTTCAGACTGCCGATGTTCAGACCAGCATGCGATTGTGAAATATCTCAACATCGATTCGTTGAGGTAGGCTAACTCTGAAGTCCAAGCCACCACGGACACCTGGCCGCATTCGCTGTTTCTGTCGGCAACGACCTCGTCGCCGTAGACCCCCACAGATGTAAGCCTCGACCTGTTCGGCCACACTGCTCCCGGGTGACCATCCCACCAATCACATGTGGCCTCAATGTGGTTCCAAAAGTTTTTCACATCATCTTCAGAAAATTTGCCGAAAAGGCATCGCCGGAAGATTGCCTTCCCGCGTTTCCACAAAGCAAGGCAAAACTGGTGAGGGAGTATGACTGGCAGTTTCTCCAAGCTTTCCTCCAAGGTAGATGGGTTCACCGTTCACCATGCGGACTGGGACGTGGTCAATTGCAGCGCCCAGCCACTGGCCAGTTCTCCGAAGCATGCGATGGGTGTCTCGTTCAACATTCGCTGGGTATTTGCCCTTGGCGCCCAGCTGTGACAACGCAGCCACGGTGTCCTTGGCACGCACCTTGCCACCGTTGGAAGACAAGCATGTCATAGCAGAAGAGGCTCGCTGTTGAACCTCCGGGAAAAAAGATAAAAAAAACGTTTGCAACTTATATGACATTATGTGTGCGAAAAGATTAACACCCGATGTTATGTAAATAACATTGTTTAGAAGTACATGGGGGCACAGGGATGTAATATAACTATATATTGTATAGAAACATGTTTGTTTTTTCAACGGTCACGTTAGTACTGAAATCCAAAAGGTTTTTTAACCAAAAATAACATTGCGTCAAAGTGCATGGGGACATGGGGGTTCAATACGAGTCTTGTATAGATCATTTGGAATATTTTAAATCGATATCATATGCTGGCCTATAGCAAAAATAATGTGTAACTGTGTAACATATGGGTTTGGCTGAAAGGTGCAGAATCACATGGTTTATCATATCGTTTCTGGGCCCATTGAAAAATGCAATTTTGAGGATAACACCCTATCGTGAGACAAACCCATATGTACCATATCATGGTTTCAACTCAGGGTCTCCTTACTGGCACTGCTAGACCCAGTGGCAAACTCATCTATCAACATCTCCCCAAAGTCACGAGGAGGTGGCAAAGTTTTTTTCTGGGCAAGTTCCCGTGCTCGAACCAAGCAGGGGGCTGTATGTTCCCGAAGCTGCTGCTGAGGTCTCTTTCTCGAAGCATCGGATGGCTCATGCCAGGGATCCTGAAAGGGGAGGGCAGCACGGAATGGCAATTCAGCCTTATTTTGTTGAGGGGGTAGCATCATAAACAAGGGTTTTGAAAAACCTTTAGGACATCATAAACACTGGTAACTCTTCACGTATGCCCATATGTTGTCCTTACGTTTCAACTCATCCCGAAGAAGTCCTGGAATGTGGGCATGGTTGACAACATTTGTCATACCGTAACATACCCCAAGAAAAACATTTGATCCGGGAAACAATTTTAATTTGGTGAATGAATTGTTGCTAGCTTCAGAATTTCAAAATGGTGTCACTGAGTGGCAACCCCATTGCTCTGTCACAGACTGGGTTGTTTTGTCAATGTTGTTTTCACTGTGGCTGAATGACGCATGTGGGAATTCCCACGCCAGCGTTCCCGGAGATAACAATCCATGTTTTCACAGATTGTCGAAATTTCACATATTTGGAATTTAAATTTTGACGGGCTGTGACCCAAGCTCTCACCAATGAAATTCAATCCATGTATGAACACAATGTTGGAATGTTGGAGTCACACTAGTCCCATCTCCAATCACCTTCACGGCAAAATGGAACACCATGGCCCCGGGATCAAATGTGTTGATCCTAACCCCGCTTCACATCAAGTTCACTGGAGTCGCTCAGGCCGATTTCTCTTCCACTCGCGCCTGAAGCCAAATCAAAAAAGGGCAAGAGATTAAGGTTGAGGTTCCTACCATTGGATGGATAAAGTGAGTTTATAACCAATGGCCTCAATGGGATTAGTTTTCCAAACTGGACAGATGGGTAAATGAATTGGAACACTAATCGTACAATTGATAAATTAATGGGTTGCGGTTCGCAACATTGAATGGGGGTATAGTATGGGTCAGCCAAAAATGTACAAGTTGCGGTCCCAAATTAGATAAGTGTAGAGCATATAATTACTACGGAAACCAACACAGTTTAACAATGGTTTTGGTTTTAAATGTCCTGGGGTACACAAATTACACTTCATGTGATGGGATGATGGGAAAACCATACGGATGAAATAATTAAAGGACCGGATAACCCCACATGTTACCAACTTCTCTAGATTTAGACTGGGCATAGAAAAGCAAGAAGGGAAGAGGAAGTATAAGAGTGATGGAGCGGTGATGGTGGGTGAGTTTGTGTGTGTGTGTATGTATGTTCAAGTACAGCGAGTGAGTGAGTGAGTGAGTGCGTGAGTGAGTGAGTGAGTCAGTGAGTGAGTCAGTGAGTCAGTGAGTGTGTGAGTGACTGCCACGCCTGCCACGCAAAAGCGGCGGAGACACAAGGGACGCCAGGGCGTACATCCGAGCCCTTGGCAGTGCACATTGTGCCACGCCTGCCACGCAAAAGAGGCGGAGACCCAAGGGACGCCAGGGCGTACATCCGAGCCCTTGGCAGTGCACATTGTGCCACGCCTGCCACGCAAAAGAGGCGGAGACCCAAGGGACGCCAGGGCGTACATCCGAGCCCTTGGCAGTGCACATTGTGCCACGCCTGCCACGCAAAAGAGGCGGAGACCCAAGGGACGCCAGGGCGTACATCCGAGCCCTTGGCAGTGCACATTGTGCCACGCCTGCCACGCAAAAGAGGCGGAGACCCAAGGGACGCCAGGGCGTACATCCGAGCCCTTGGCAGTGCACATTGTGCCACGCCTGCCACGCAAAAGAGGCGGAGACCCAAGGGACGCCAGGGCGTACATCCGACCCCTTGGCAGTGCACATTGTGCCACGCCTGCCACGCAAAAGAGGCGGAGACCCAAGGGACGCCAGGGCGTACATCCGAGCCCTTGGCAGTGCACATTGTGCCACGCCTGCCACGCAAAAGAGGCGGAGACCCAAGGGACGCCAGGGCGTACATCCGACCCCCTGGCAGTGCACATTGTCCCACGCCTGCCACGCAAAAGAGGAGGAGACCCAAGGGACGCCAGGGCGTACATCCGAGCCCTTGGCAGTGCAACGCAGAAGAGGCGGAGACCCAAGGGACGCCAGGGCGTACATCCGAGCCCTTGGCAGTGCACATTGTCCCACGCCTGCCACGGACGAGCGAGCGAGCGAGCGAGCGAGCGAGCGAGTGAGTGAGTGAGTGATTGAGTGAGTGAGTGAGTGTGAGTGAGTGAGTGAGTGTGAGTGAGTGAGTGAGTGAGTGAGTGAGTGAGTGAGTGAGTGAGTGAGTGAGTGTGAGTGTGTGTGTGTGAGTGACTGAGTGAGTGAGTGAGTGAGTGAGTGAGTGAGTGTGTGAGTGAGGTGAGTGAGGTGAGTGAGGTGAGTGAGGTGAGTGAGGTGAGTGAGGTGAGTGAGGAGTGAGGAGGAGGACGCGAGGCGGCGGATACAGAAGTAAAAACAAAAAAACCACACGTCAATGTGGGGAAAAATGCCAAACCGGCCTTCTTCTTTCCTCCCCTAGGTTTGACCAACTGGTTGGCCATTGACGTCATTTCCAAGTAATCGCCCCGGAGAACACATGCTGTCTCAAGCGATTCCCAAAGCTCATCCACATCGATCAGCTGAAGCTCCTACCAGAGGGAAACCCCGGTTGTGTCAATATGAAGAAATTCACAATAGTATTGGTATCTCATGGATGGTTGATTACATTCTCTAGGATGGTTGAATATGGAGTGACCTGTGGCAACCACTCCTGATCTGACGCAGTTTCGATCATATCCAGGCGGCCCTTCATGTCAAAGTACATATCTTCAAGATTCTTGGCCAGATCGATCAAACTGTCACCTGGGCCCCACTTGGATTGCATGATGACGCGTGGTGGCGGAATCAAGGAGAACTCTGTGCCCGATTGGGTGAGTTCCTAGCGAACAAAATGATGAACCCAAGACACGGGTGGATGAGAGGCGCTACCTTCCAATGGGTGAAGGGGATGACGATGATGCATGAATGGACATCGTCTATGAGGAGGACACCTTGATCTATGGATGCCGAAGAGCATGCCATGATTTTACATGCCCAATGTATAATTGTCCCCTTATATACCCCTGATATCAAATGATAATTAATGCAAGTGACGCAAATGACCCTGATGTCACTTTCAAGAGGCAGTTCGAACACTCTTCCCATAACTTCCAATACAGTCGTGCCTTGGCATGAATCATATGAGCTGTAGCAACGCTAACCCTTTTGTTCAGCCTGTTCCACGGAGATTCGCCCGTGCACGGTCCAGCGAAGAAGACGCAGTCCTTGTTGCTGCGGAGGCATCTCCTCCACTTTGCACTTCCATATCTGGAGAGAAGGTCATCATCCTCTGTGATTAGTTCCAGGTGGATTGACGTGTCCATGATCTCACGGTATCTCTTTGTCATCAAACTTGAAGGCTCTGCGCACATCAATATCATAGTGGGTGTCCTTTCGGGCAACTCTTGTATTGTAATTGTAACGTTCTTTCCCAGGTACTTTGTACTGTCAATATCATGAATAGACCTTGTGAACGTGTACTTCATACAATGCCCATTGTCACGAACCAATACCAAATTGATCAGACTGTCCGCAAATCACCATCCGATATGTATGAGGGATAAATATCTTGTCAGGAGAAATGATGTTCAGACCCATGGTGTTGACACAAGCCATCAGATTATCATCCATAATGCAACTCGCAACCGGAGGAACTTTCTGATGCCCCATAACACGAAAGATAGACTTTCCAGTCCAAAACTCATTTCGATTGTTTGACTTCTCTCCATTGTCACCCGGGAGACGCCAATTACTCTTGTCCACCCTCACATTCGACTGGAACTTCAATTGAGTTTCTCTTGAATTCAACGATGATCACATATGGACAATCATCACAATCACTTGGAACGAACATTTCTCTTCTCGGTATATCGTGGATCCTTTCCAGAATATGGTCCCCTATCCACTTCCATTCATCACGAACAGGAACTTCATCATGACCACATTCTGTTGCTGATGCTATTTTCTTGGTATTTCTTCTTCTCCGTATAGGCGGCTGTTGTAACTTCAACATTTCTGAAAGTGCTTTGTTGAACTGTTTTTGATCTTTGAATTGTTTCGAATCCTCCATGCCTCCCCCCATGAACAAGGCGTACCAGGGCATTGATCACCCTAATAGTCATAGGATTCCCGTCATGTAACGAAAACGGAATCTTCTGAGGACGTTGAGCTTGTTCAAAGAGTATTTCAGTACTGAATGTGAGGCTCGGATTGTTCGGTTCCAACGTCGACGCACGTAAGAACCGAGAACTGGCCGCCGTGGACTCACATACGGGCAGTGAAACAATCGGAGCGGAAGTGGGGTGATGGTATTGGAAGCATGCCCTTTCAATCCATTTGTCAAAACGTGATTGTTGTAACAAAGGTGGAACACGATCCTCAACTTGTTCCCACTTCCCGTGGACTAAGATCCAGGTGCTCCGAAGGCAATCTGCAGGAAGTTTGACACCAGCTGGTCTTGTTCTGAACAATGTAAGGGTTTTGACCACAAAGATGGGATCCATACCGGGTAGCTCTTGAAGCTTTTCTCGACTTGAAAGACCCTTACGGCACACCTCAGGTGGCAGTATGGGTGTTTCAGTATATGGAAAATTGGGAACCTCGTCTGTCCTTGATTGAAAAACTTGACGAACTGTAGTGTCAACATCTGTAGTGGGCTGCACTAAGTCTGCCAATTGCTTCGAACCAAGGTCTTCGGGCTCCAAAAGATTGATCAACATGCAAGCCTTTTTCCAGGCTAGGGGGTTTGTAAAACCTTTTGTGTGGATGTCCGCGGCCATCTTCGCAGTGATCTCGTACATGAGAACAAAGTGATCTTTGCTGAAATGCTCATGTAATGACGTAATAGAAATCCCATGAGTCCTTTCCAGATGCCGCATTGTTGGATTCCGTCCAGAACGAACCACACCAATCATCCCTTGATTGTCATCATGAAACAATAGCTTGGGAGATGATTCTGTAAGCGTTTCCCAAATACTGAGTGCAGGAAGACCCATTGTTCGAAGGGTTACATCAGCGGCTACGATCTCAGCTTCAGATGTAGAATGGCTCACACACCCCTGGCGTTTGCTCCCACCAGCTAGTGGAAACCGAGTACGTTTCCCCTGAATATGCATATGAGAACCTGATGTGGACCTCAATGATTGTGCACATCCCGCAAAGTCAGCATCTGCATACAACGCAATGGATAGATCTTTCATATCATTACCGACCCATCCAATCATCCTCTTCCCTAAGGTAGAGTTGACATAGCACATCAGATGGTATAGTTTTGCATCATCTTGAATGGACCACTTTGTCACATTGCGTGCTAATGTATTGATTGATCTCAACAAATCAAATCGGGCGATCCTTGCTGCATATAAGAGCTTCATCAAGATGCTAGCAGCATGAGGAGCGAGTGCACCTCGTTGGACTTCAACAGATTCCGGCCGAGAATCGGAGGCATCGGGCTGTAAGGCAACCGACGATCCAGGATCGAACTTTGTAGAACACCAGGGACATTGAACTGCATGCTTAGGATCCCCAGGTGCTGGTGCTCGAGACTTATGGTGTTTGGTCTCTTCGGGGAGACTAGGTGTTGAGACTTGTTTTAACTTCGTATCTTTCCCAACAAGTTCAAGATATTTGTCAACAGAGCGCTTTAAAAGACCCTCCATAATTATAGGTCATGGTCGTGACCTCTGTGCCATCATGCAGGCGATTGGTTCCTTTGCTTAGCAAACAACCAAGATAGAGACCTAAATCTGTCTCTGGTTCAATTCGTAGCTTTGACCTTAACATTTCCCACCCCTTGGTGAGGTTCTGTTCTGGCCCAGCTAACTTCAAATCATCAACATAGATGACTAACAAAAGTTTGAGTTCCTTATGGAAATACATTGATGGCCATTCCTCCCCTACTGGCATAAAACCAACTTCACAGACGTGTTTGTCACAATGTTGTTTCCACATTGTGCCCGCATCAGGATGACCAGAAAGTGCTTTGACAAGTTGCACTGCCGGTCTTCTGAACTTCCGGATGTCGATGTCGTCCGGCCATGCATCTTCGGGGAGTTCGACCCAACAAGGAGGTCCCGTAAGCCTCGCTTGAATATATGCCTGAATGGCATCTGCCAGCTTCACGTTGTGGCCGGGGATGCAACCATAGAAATCTGCCCATCGGGAGGCTTCAAATGTCGCTGGAGAATTGCCGAGGTCTTGAAAGAACGCGGCTTCCCAGTGCTGGTTCTTCACTTGGTTTCCAAGTAGAACGCCTCTACCTTTGAACTTTCGTCCAGGGCTCCCCTTTGGTAGCTGATAGTTCTTCTCGACACAAATGCCGTGAACTCGTGCCATGTGAACTTCATGTGAACTTCTTTTCCTTCTCGTTTAGCTTCTGCTACAACTTCATCGTATTCACGAACAATTGAGAAATCATAGACACCCTGCTTGTGCTGTCCCAACCACTCACTCCTCATAGAAGCCTTGGCGTCCGGGTCTTCCATCATCTCTTTACGACCAACTGGCCGTGAGACCATCGCGTTGAACAACTTCCCAAACCTGACATCACTTTGACCGAACTTCTCGCGATGCTCAAGGTCTTGATGAACACAAGGCATACAAGGAATCGAACTCACGAAGTGGTTGACCTTGGACTTGCCGTCGGAGTCTTTTGAGGTGGAAGCCGTTGGTGCAGCTTTAGCAGGTGCCGTGACTTTCCCAGTGTTGAAGTCATAATGAACATCTTCCCATTGAGCCTTCGGTCCTTTTCCAACTTCATGTTCAGACCATTCATCCCATTCATTCAAGAATTCTTGACCATCATCATCACTTGGGACGTTTGTGCTCGTTTCACTGGGTGCTGAAGGAGAGACATTGTTGTACTTCTTGATGTCGGCGAGATCACTCGCTCCATGGGTTGTTGACAAACATTCCCATGGGTTGCGACCTCTTCTTTGGTTCAGCCTCGTCATAGGATCATGGGGCGTAGGCATACGTTCCCAATCACCTCGGAACGTCCCCACGCCGACAGCAGCGTCCTTGCCGCCATCTTTGCCTGAACTCTCCTTTGAGTCTCTATTACTCTTTTTCTTCTTCTTTCGTCCTTCATCTTTTGGTGGATCTTTGTGTGAACTAGCATCGGACTTCTTCTTCTTCTTCTTCTTCTTCTTCTCAGCAATCTCTGCTTTGGCTTTCTTCTCTTTCTCTTTCTTCAACTTGATCTCCTTGAAATTCTCAGCTTCTTCTTCAAGTTTTCCACGACAAATGAGGACATCTCTCTCCTTGGCGGACAATGATCTCCACTCTTCAGGGCTATAACTGCTCTTCGGCCTTGGCGATCGTCTTACTTCTTTGCGACCATCTGGACCAACTCGATAGGGCCGTCCACGTTTGTCGAGCTTGACGTGCTCGCCAATGTCGCTGAGGTAGATGATGCCGTCACCAGGCTTGCCCATTGAATGATGTTCAGGTCCGTCATAAGGAGGTTCACCATCAGGAGGAGGCATAGGAGGTCCATCAACAACTTCAACTTCATCGTCTTTCTCCTTGTCGAGTTTGACGTCCATTTCCTCCATCATGCGTTTGAACTCCTCTTCTTGATGTTCAACACGATTGGTGATCTTGCCTTTCTTGGGCTTGTCGTCACCGTCGTCTCCGTCATCATCGTCTTCATCACCATCATCGTCTTCTTGTTGATCTTCAAGGAAATCAGGTGATCCTTCGAGACGATCTTTCACAGCCAGCCCTTCCAATGTGGTGTTCACCTTCTCATAGATGTCTTTGCATGGGAACGTCAATGGCAAATGCACCTCAATCTTCTCCGTGAGATGTGGATGGCGTAGCTTGTCGATGATCGTCTTGGCATTGAACGAGTAGTTCTGCTTCGTCATGTCAGACAATGCCCATGCCAGCCCATGCCATATATTGCCGTCGCCAATTGACGCCCGGAGCAATCTCGTAGCCAGCAAAGAGACCAGGAATGCCCTTGGGATCGAACTTGTGAGCCTGTTCGTTGGCTCTTGCTCCACTCGGCATAAAGTAAACCAAAGCACCAAATGGGATCTTGTCGCCCTTGAACTCGGCGCCATGGAGCTTGCACCATGCACTCACATCATCTTCACCCGGTTCCACATTGAGTAGGTGACATACACATCGTATGGCAAACTTCCAGAAACACGCTGGTAGTCCAGCCTCGAGTAGGCATGTGGTAGTTGTAGCAATGACGAACTGGTTGTTGCGCTCGGCAAGGGAGTTCGTAGATGGTCTTCCCGGCAGAGCATGGTCAAATGGTATCTTGAGTGCTTCCATGGCCTTGAAAAATTGCCTAGCTTTGTCAGAGTAGGCTTCTCTAATGGTACGTCTTCCCATGAAGTACTTCACCGCTCTCACAACATCCTCAGTGTTCTTGGTTGGAGAGGGGTAGCTCTGAATGATGCCGGTAAACCTGTCTCGAATGACAAGAATCTCCTTGACCGTGTCGTAGCCCAACTTGGTCGTCTTGCGAGTGTCCATGAAGTCGAAGGTGATGAGGTCGCCGAACTTCGTGAGCTTTCGGCGAAATGCACCTCGGTAGGTCTTGTGGTGCTTCATCTTGGCCCTCACGCAAGAATTGCAGTATGGGTTCTTGTACCGATGTGTCAACAGGTGTTCGAGAGTACGTGCTTCATGTTTCAGAGTACCTCTCTTTGACAATCGCACTCCTCCATCTGGATCGTCAACATCGATATAATCCTCATCATCTTCTTCTTCAGGTGGTCCATGTTCAACACCAATTTCATCTTCATCGGATTGATCGACTTCTGGTATATCATCAGCTGCTGGTACCCGATCATCATCGTCTTCTCCATCTTCATCCGCACCAGGAATGTCATCAACATGAACATGGTCACCCTCTGGATCTTCTTCACGGATGGATGGTTCATAACCGTCGTCATCATCGACTTCTTCACCAGCTGCTGCAGGAACTGACTTTCGTCTGGAAAGCTTCTTCTTCTTCGTCTTCCTCGGAGACTTCGTTGGCCCGTCGAGGTACGTACCAACTCTGTCATCCGATTCGGACATCTCATCACCACTTTCACCATCGAGGTATATTGTTCTCGATGCATTGTTGTTGTTGTTGTTGCCCATGAGACCCAACACTTTCATCACCAACTCGGCCTCGTGGTCTGACGTGGGCCGGTAGTCCTTGGCTCCGAGGTAGACATACGGGATAAGATCGTGAACTTCCATCTTAATCTTGTCACCCTCGGGATTGATCATGTAGGGCTCTCTCCCAGTGGGCCAAACAAAGGTATAACCTTGTTCCATGCATCGCTTTCCCAACGATAGAACTGATGGAGTGTCTTCCAACACGTGTGCCTTGGCTGGCTCATTGAACGTGTCAAAGTCCAAGTCCACCATAGTAGATGTGGATGTGATGCCATTCGCTGTGTGGAAATTAACTCTATCACTCTGGTACGTGTCAATGTCCATCCGATCCACTCTAGTAGATGAGATGAGGCCATGACCGCTTCCAGAGTCCATGATGAATCGCCTCACCTTGAGCTCGATCGGCATAGTGATGCACATGATGTTGTCACGACGTCCATACTTTCCTGGGACATGAGGGATAACTTCCTCATAGCACATCTCAGCTCTTGAGTTGGTCTCCAAATATTCTATGTCATTGATCTTGAGCTTGATGTATTGATGTCATTCTTGGGACCCAGGATAACATGTACTTCATCAACATCAGAAAACTCATTGTAGTCATCCATCAATATGCCAATTGCCCGTGCTCTCGTCATGCCCAGCTTAGACTGCAATGTGTACTGCTGGTCATCCATGATTTCTTTTGTAGTTCTGCACGGCAATGATCGTTTCTGAGCTCGAGACAGATTCCTTCTCGGTTTTCTGTTGGAACATTCCACAAAGTCAGGCTTCACATACTCATGCACATCTATATGATAGTTGAACTTGACATCCATCTTGTTCTTCTTCTCGCTCGGCACAGCCTTCACGATGAAATCGTCATCATATTCACGGACCAATGCAGGAGTGGCCTTAACATCGGATGTCTTCGTCGAAGGGGCGGCTCTCCTGCCTTTCATGCTTGGATCATGCTTGAAGGTGCATTTGTCTCCCTTCTGACAGTCACCCTTCAACCACCCGTAGCAGTTGCGGTCCTTCTTTCCACCAGGAGTCTGTGACCTTCTTGGAGTAGCCGATCTGCCACCCTTGCCTTTGCCACCTTTGTCCTTCCTCCTATCCCAATGGTATTGAGAATGGCTGTATTGGCACTTGTCACCATGTTTGCAATTCCCTTTGTTGAAGTGGAAATGACAGAAGGTCTTGGAGGTGTCTTTGGTAGAAGGTGATCTCGATCTTCGACCTCCCTTGCCTTTCCCCTTTCTGTGGCTCTTGGGATTGCCAGAAGATAGAACTGGGGCTCCAGGCTTGCCCTTGGGTGCTGGTGCACTCGGCTTCCCATTCTTGCCATCCTTTGGCGCAGGAGTTGGAGCCGCAGGCTTTGGTGCAGGAGTCGTTGGCTTACCAAGATTGGTGTAGTCGGTGGCAAACTTGTCCCTAGCTGCAATGTTCCTATCCTCACGAGTACGTGCGATATGCCTCTTCATAATCTCCAGTAGCTCTTCATAGGACTTCTTCTTGTCATCATTGTCCCTACCTTTGAAGATCGTGAGATCGACATGCAGCGCTTGGGAGTTTTCAATCTTCCTCAGGAGATGATCACGTAGTGTGTTGTCAGATGGAATGTCCTCAACTTTCATGTTGGCGATGATCTCGATCCATGCATGGAGGAACCTATCCATCTCTTTGTCACCACGATACTGTAGTTTGTAGATGTGGCCGGCATTGAACAACACTTCATCTTTAGATGTCGTTCTGAAATGATCAAGCACCATTGCTAGGATCTCTCTGCCCATTAAGAAGTTCCCCTCCTTGCCAAGTACTTGACTCCTCTGTCTGATCCGCACCTTGACCTCGTATGCCGTTTCACCAGCGGCATCCACCATATTCTGCAAGGCAATGGATAGCTTGGAGTCGATTGACTGAAAGCGGAATTCACCTGAGACAGCGAGTTCGGCATAGGATTAGGTAGTTGAGCAGGAGTTAGCCATCTTCTCCATGCTGCTGTATCAGGATCTCCTGATGCAACACATACAGCTTGCACCACGTTTGAATGCCATACATCAAGATCTTGACATTTGGGCCATGGCTTGACGATGACCTTCTCGTGCTCCTTCCTCGAAATTCGAGTAACCCATTCCTTGCCGTCTTGGTCAAGGTTGCTGTCGGCGACACTAACATCTTTGCCATCTTTTCTGTCCCAAAGTCCAGGTGGATTGTCGGGAACAGGATCATATTCAGGAGCGCTGCTTCCCTTCAATGTTTCTTGTCCTTCTTCCGCCTGTTCTAACCAACTCTGGTACCCTTTCATCTCGTCATGGTTCTGTTGCGCTCGCTCTTCAGCTTGGCGAAGCTTCTCACGTAGGTCTTCCATCTCATTGGTGACCGTGTTGCCGATGGCGCTGTTTGCATCAGGAAGGCTTGGTACTGCAACAGTATTGCTCCTTATTGGTGATGGAGCCTTTGGGGTTCCCCTTGGAGTCGCAATTGATACTGCAAAGGAAGGTGTTTTGGCCGCTGAAGTCTTCGTCCTCGAGGTCAAACTTCTAGGAGGCAAAGCTGAGGGCGATGCAGGCACAGCAGTAGTAGAAGCTGGTGCATTCCATGAAGCAGGCATCGACTGCATTGCCAACTTTGCATCATGGAGCGATAGCTTCAACGAGTCATTCTTCCTGATCGTTGCCTCACGCTCGGCGCAGGCCGTCTTGTACAGCTTCTTGTACCTGTCTGCTTCAGCTTCTTCTGCATTGACGAGTGCCTCAGTCAAGTTAGGGTTGCTCTCTATTCCTTCTTGAAGTCGACCAATTTCCAGGTTCGCCTTGCGAAGTTCTTCATGCTTCGTCACTGCTAGTACTGAGTCGAGATCCATGGAGTCCAGCGATTCGCGTTCTCAGATCGTTGTTGGACTCGATCAACTTCATGTTCTCGTCCATGATCTCATCCTTGACAGCCTCAACGGTGACTTCTCTATGAAGGCTTGAAGTTCATTGTACCGGAATCTTCTGTACTCACTCCTCTCCTCAATGAACCTCTCTTCATGCCATTCCTTCGAAGCTATCTCTTTCTCATTCAGCTTCATGAGGCTTCTGATCTCCACTTGCAGTTCATTGCGTTTCATCAAGTACTCATCCTCCTTCTTCTGAGCCATATTCGTCAAATCTCGGACCATCGTGAAATGATCACGCGTTGCACTGTCCTTGGCGGCAATGATGTCATCCCTTCTTCTCAAACTTGCTGTCAACTCGTTGATAGTTGATTGCATCTCCGCCAGTTGCTCATCTCGTATTGCGACAGCTTGTTGACCATGTTCCAAGACCATCTCATTGTTAACAGCCATAATCTGCGAACTTTCGGTCAGTTTCTGCTTTAAGATTTCCATCTCCTCCTTGTTTGCCATCTCCTTCTCATTGACATACTGTGCACATGCTTCGCCTAGTTGTAGTCCATCTTGACGGTAGTGATTCGCCATAGCTTCAGACGCTTCTTGTTGTTCACGAATGAGTTGTGATGCGTTTTCCAATTCAGAGTGGTATCTTCTCCTCATAGCCATGCTCTCCTGAACGATGTGGGCCGCACCTGCTTCAGCAAGTTGACCACGTTGTCCAAGCTCATAGATCCTCTGCGTTGAACCTTCGTCCATGAGGTGTGCTTCAGCAAGAGCATTGGATTGTTCGTCCAGCAGGTTGTATGCATCGATGAGGGATTTTCTCATGAATTCCATCTCTGAGTTGACATGTTCCTGGTATTCTTCATGATGTTGATGTGAATAGACCTCTACGTTGTTGATCATTTGATCACGATGTGAAAGGACATCTTGATACAATGCCAGTCTATTCTCTAGTTCACTCCTTGCTTGTTCACTTCTCTCCAATTTCTCAATGTTTCGTTGTAGCTGACGTCGTAGTCGTGTCTCGCTCTCATTCCTTGTAGCGCTGGTAGACGACTTGCGTTTGGATGAGGCGGCAGACTTGCCTACCCCATCCTCCCGCGTGGCCGTGCCCGACGGGCTCCGGCCACCGTTGCCGTCACTTCCAGCGGCACGAGATCGTAGAGCTCGATGTGATCTTGCCGACGTCGATCTGTTGGCACTTCCCCGTAGGGCATCAGCATGTGTGACCACTGTGAAGCTATTTGTAGATGCTACACTTCCAGGCGCTCGGTACGAGACTGTACCGCCGCCGCCGCTCTCTTGGGATCCGGGCGTGTCATTGATCGCCGGAGCCGGAGCTGCATTCGCTCCGAAGGTACAGTTCGTGTCGTTGCTGCTCGACTGGTTGTTCCGCGACATCTTTATCAATCCACCTCCGTTTAGTGCAAGTCGGTGACTTGTAGAAGGGCAGGAAGACCGGGATGTCGTAGAGGTCGAGGTACGAGTGGGACCACCGTACGCTCAGCGTGAGCGTACGGCTGATAACCTGCGAATGGACAATGCCCTCTTGTATGTCGTGTAAGTGTAGGTGCGGTCTTTGGTGATCGTTTTGTTTACTAAGTTCACCTCGCCCAACCCAGTCCGGCTAACACACTTTTACCATCGCTGGCGGCTGTTGATGTCTTGAGCCATGAGCCTTGAGCCATGAGCCTTGAGCCAAGGCGGCAGGATGAGCGGAGCTGTCAAAAGGGCTGTGCATGACTGTTCACAGTTGCCTGCATTCCAATTACAATAACCAACTAGCTAACTAAGTAACTAACTAACTAACTGACTAACTAACGAACTAACTAACTAACTAACTAACTAACTAACTAACTAACTAACTAACTAACTAACTAACTAACTAACTAACTAACTAACTAACTAACTAACTAACTAACTAACTAACTAACTAACAACTAAACTAACTAACTAACTAACTAACTAACTAACTAACTAACTATAACTATAACTATAGCTATAACTATAACTATAACTAACTAACCAACTAACTAACTAACCAACTAACTAACTAACTAACTAACTAAACTAACTAACTAACTAACTAACTAAAACAAAAGAGCACACCTATGCTTAACTCCATTGCATTGCTGACCCTTTCCATGAGTTCGCTCGTAAATTTCAATGTTTTCCCGGAGGGCTCTCACAGCAAACTGCTGCCAGGTCTCTTCAATTTGAAGCTGAAACTGGACATCCATGAATTCAAGTTTACCAAGAAGAGCACATCGTTCTTCCTGAAGCGTGGTTCAAAATTCATTGAGTAAGGATGCCAAAGGTGTAAACTCCCGGATTTCCAAATGAAGCGCGCCAACCCAATATGCGTCATTGTGGGTTTCGTTCCACATCAAATCCAGAAAACTAGGGCCATTGCTTACAATAACGGGGGCACAAATTAAGCAGCTGCTGTGATCGATGCAAATTCAACGTCTCCTTCATTTTTTCCCACAGAGGCGATCAGTTGTGGCACGATCGACCGAAAGTACAGGTATGACTCAGTACGACATCATGCCTGAAGATCTTTCAGACGTTGCTCCAGAATCTCTTCAGGAGACAGTGCTTCTCCTTCTCCTGACTCCTGCGATACACTGTGTGTATGGGTGCTGCTGGGCCAGTTTACAAACATGTAAAGGTGCAGGAACCACTTGATGATTTTCTACCATCCTTGGCAAAACAATTGAGTAAACCAACAGCTTGGTGCATTCAATTCAATACTTCCGGATGGCGTAGTGTTGCAGAAAAGGAACAGCAGCAATACTGTTTTGAGGATCATTCGCACATAGGGTCCAGGAACAGGTCGTCACCCAAATAAAAGGGATCGTTTTTCCCAATTTTGGAAGCCCTCTTGATTTTCAATCTCAGAGAACTCATCTTAGCAAATGGTTTGCTCACTCATGACGGTACTGATTGTGTTTTCAGACTCCAAAATGAGAACTTGAGGCCGGGGGTGGATGACGAAAGCTAGCGGGGTAGGAGAAAGAAGGAAGGGAAGAGGTTTGCGGAGGGACTGTCATCATCGTGTCGCGGCATTGTTCGTCCCAACGAGGATGCAACAATGATATATGATAGATTATATATGATATATAACAATGATATATATGAGGGAGGGGGCAGGGAGGGGCCCTTTCACGTGAAAAATCACGTGATGTCCTTGGGGAGCCCCGGGATACTTGCTAAAGCAAGAAGACTCTAGCGAGCTGACGCTAGCTTTCGTGATAATGCCAATAATTGCCAATATGGTCACCGACAGAATTATGGAAAAAAATAACGTTCAACTTAGACAGGCGGCGCCTGCGTCCGATTTTTCCATAATTGGATTTTTCCCCATAAGGGTTCAAAATATCCCGGAAGTGATCCGAACCTTTTTTTTTTCCATAATTCTTGGAGGTGGCCATTATTTCCATATGGTCACCGACAGAATTATGGAAAAAAAAAATACGTTCAACTTAGACAGGCGGCGCCTGCGTCCGATTTTTCCATAATTAGGTTTTTCCCCATAAGGGTTCAAAATATCCCGGAAGTGATCCGAACCTTTTTTTTTCCATAATTCTTGGAGGTGGCCATTATTTCCATAATTGATTTTTCCTGTAAAATCAGGGGGCTAGGGCAGATTGACCGGTTTTTCCATAATTATTTTTTCCATAATTATTTTTTCCATAATTATTTTTTCCATAATTAATGTTTGGGGCTCCACCTGTTGGACATGTCATGGATCCACAATTCAAACCCCTTTTTTTGGGGGGTTATGGAAATATGTATGCAAATGCAAGTATGTAGTATCAACCCAATTGGTGGCTTGGCAAAAGGATACATCCCGCATATGTATGTACGTACAACAATGAGTTTTGGTGGTGCAATTGTTTTTCCTTTGTTGGTACCACTATGGTCCATGGGTAATAGACTTAGGGGCATATACCAGATCTTTAGACACATATTTTCTATAATTCAATATTCCCCCTTAAAATGCATTCAAATTGCGAATCGATGGACATACAGTCACCGACAGAATTATG